CTCCGGACGCGCAAGCCCAGCGGCCATGGCTCACGGGCCCAGCCGCTCCGCGGCAAGTAGGATCCTCCCAAACCGGGGCACGAACAAAGCCCGACTCTCCAAAGAACCAGGAGCAGCCACAAAGCAATGAAGACGGGGGGAGGAGCGGGGGGGTAGCAGGAAGCTTGCGGCCTTTGTTTTTAACCTCCTGCAGCTCACCCTACAGCTCTAGGGTCGCTAGAAGTACCTTTGTTAAGGGCGGAAGGGAGAGTACTGGGGAGGCTGGAGTGCTCCCCACCCTCTCGGCCCTAAACCCCGCCCTCACCCCTGAAGCCCCGCCCTTCCCCTTACCAGCGTCGGTGGGGGTGGTGTTGAAGGCTATGGCTGGCGAGCAGGTGAGTCCAGCCGCCTCCCAGAGGAGTAGCCAGGCCACCGCCCGGACGGCCACGGCCGGGGGAGCCAGGACGCCGGAGAACGCGCGCCCCAGAAGAGCGCGCGGGGACAAAATGCGGAGGAACCTGCACACGCCTCACACCGCTCCTAGAGCGCGCTGTCACGGAGTTAGAGACCGAGACGGAAGACTCAATGCGCGCACGCCAGCGGTCCAGCCGTTACCCTGCTCCCCGCATCCCCAGCCCCCGAAAGTTCCGGCGTCAAGGAGGCTGCGGTCCCGCCCCCTCGTCGCCCCGCCCCTCGCACTCCCGGTCGGGGGCGGAGCGAGGAGCGGCGGAAGCGCCGTGACGTGTGCCAGGGCAGTTGCTCTAGGGGCCGCTCCGCGGGATACCGGGATACTCTGAGCTCCGCGCGGTGACCTGGGGACAGCCTAGCCGAGCTCCCGGCGTCCACCTCCACTTCCAGGTATTTGCCGATGCGGGCCTCCTGCCGGGGAATTCACCCCACGGTGCGGAGCTGTGGCTGTCGCCTCTTTCTGCAGCGCCAGGCTGCGCCTGGCCTCAAAGTCAAGTGCTCCTAGGTGCACTACGGTTAGTGGAAACACCCTCTCACGGAGATTTTAGACGTTGACCTGCAGAAGATGCATTTTCTGTACTTCTCTATGGGTAAGAAAGTCAGTCTTGCACTAGTGGGGGCGTGGATAGGGAGAGGATCGTCTACCTGATGGCAAAATCCGTACACTTTTAGGTGCTGTGGGGATGCTTGGCAAGATTATGCAGGTCACTGATCCTTGAGGAGAAAAGTATTAATGTCTAGGAAGAAGTGCTGGGTAAATGTGTCGTCTGTCTTCATGAATTGAATATGTAAGCAGAGCTGGAGTGTATCCAATGCAGATTGGAACAGAACGGAGGGCTCTAGGATGGATGTCTTATAGAGGAAAGATGTCAGAAGATACTACCTAAAACTGAAGATAGCAGTATAAGCATACTGTTAAGAAATATGAAGATAAATTTTGGAAGAAACATTTAAAACAAACCTATGGAGAGGGGAAGGGGAGAGGACAACAGTTTTTTGTTATAAGCTTCATAGAATTATGTTACATTTTAAACAGAATACAAACATTACTTTAATAAAAATAAAAGTTTAGTTTTAAAAAGAAAGAAAAGAGTGTAGCCATAAAACTACATTATTGAGCATCACTTGCATATATCATTTATTAATACAGCCATTTGCTTGAGTGTATGGAATTTGTATTGTGCTCAGTAGGATCTTCTAGAAAGTTTACTAACAACAAATTTTAGTGAGTTGAACTGGGAGTAGTATTTGTTTTAAAAAAAAAAAAAGAAAAGAAGAAAGAGGTGGAGTGGGATCATGGCATCAGATCAGAGGCAGAGCACAATAATTTGATAACACAGTTTTTTATATATTGGGTTGGCCAAAAAGTTCCCTTGGTTTTTAAGTAAAAATAAAAGGCACATTTTTCCCAAAAATATTTATTTATTTATTTATTTATTTATTTATTTATTTTGGCTGCACCAGGTCTTCATTGAGGCACATGGGTGCTCTTAGTTGCTGCATGCGGACTCCTAGTTACGGCATGCATGCAGGATCTAGTTCCCCAACCAGGGAACAAACCCAGGCCTCCTGCATCAGGAGCGCAGAGTCTTACCCACTGGACCACAAGGGAAATCCCACATTTTTCATTTTTCATTTTTACCAAGAACTTTATTGAACAATGTATTCACCATTTTGTTCCACTACTTTCTGCCATTTTCCAGGCAACTCAATAATTCCATCTTCCCAAAACTTTTTATCCTTTTGAGCAAAGAATTGTTCTAGGTGCTTTTTACAGTCTTCCAGAGAAGTGAAATTTTTTCCATTAAGAGAATTTTGTAAAGACCGAAATAAATGGAAATCCGAAGGTGCAATGTCTAGTGAATATATTGGATGAATCAGAACTTCCCAGCCAAGCTGTCACAGTTTTTGCCTGGTCATCAAAGAAACATGCAGTCTTGCATTATCCTGATGGAAGATTATGCGTTTTCTGTTGACTAATTCCGGATGCTTTTTGTCTAGTGCTGCTTTGAGTTGGTCTAATTGGGAGCAGTACTTGTTGGAATTAATCGTTTGGTTTTGCGGAAGGAGCTCATAAGAGAGGATTCCCTTCCAATCCCACCATATACACAACATCACCTTCTTTGGATGAAGACCAGCCTTTGGTGTGGTTGGTGGTGGTTCATTTCGCTTGCCCCACCATCTCTTCTGTTCCACGTTATTGTACAGTATCCACTTTTCATCACCCGTCACAATTTGTTTTAAAAACAGAATGTTTTCATTACGTTTAAGTAGAGAATCACATTCGGAAATATGGTTAAGAAGGTTTTTTTCACTTAACTTACGTGGAACCCAAACATCAAAGCGATGAACATAACCAACTTGGTGCAAATGATTTTCAGTGCTTGATTTGGATATTTTGAGTATGTCGGCTATCTCCCACATTGTATAATACTGATTGTTCTCAATTAATGTCTCGATTTGATGGCTATCAACTTAACCTTGTGTACCCGACCGTGGAGCATCATCCGGCGAGGAATCTCCAGCACGAAACTTGGCAAACCAGTTTTGACACGTTCGATCAGTCACAGCACCTTCTCCATACAATGCCCAAATCTTTTTTTGCGTTTCAGTTGTGTTTTTACCTTTCTTGAAATAATAAAGCGTAATATGCCGAAAATGTTGTTTTTTTCCCCTATTTTCTATATTAAAACGGCTACACAAAAATTCACCAATTTTAGTGCACACTGAGATGACAGCTGTCACAATACAGTCTAACAAAACTGTTTCAAATGAAGTTAAAGACAACTAAGCGCTACTAGAGCCAGCTTATGGAATGAACGAACTTTTTAGCCAACACAGTATGATCCATTTCCTAAGAGTAAAAATTCTCACATCCAATAGGAAGGGGTAAATAATATAGATTATGGTATATGCATAGGAAAAAACATTTGCAGTCATAATAATTTGCATTTTAGAAAGACATTTAATGGCAAAATTACATAGGTTGTTAAATTTAAAAGGCAGGACTTAAGAAAGAATGAAATAATGCCATTTGCAGCTACATGATGAACCTAGAGAGTATCATACTAAGTGAAGTAAGTCAGAAAGAGAAAGACAAATACCATACGATATCACTTATATGTGGAATCTAAAATATGACACAAATGAACTTATCTACAAAACAGAAACAGACTCACAGGCATAGAGAATGGACTTGTGGTTGCCATGGGGGAGGGGGCGTAGGAGAGGGATGGATTGGGAGTTTGGGATCAGCAGATGTAAACTGTCATATATAGAATGGATAAACAAGGTCCTACTGTATAGCACAGGGAACTATATTCAATATCCTATGATAAACCATAATGGAAAAGCATATGAAAAAGAATATATGTATTTATATTTATTACTGAATCACTTTGCTGTACAGCAGAAATTAACACAACATTGTAAGTCAACTATACTTCCATAAAATAAAATTTTGTAAAAATTTAAAAGGTAGGAAACAGTATGTATGATATAAAAACATACTATAGCTAAAAAACAAACAAACCAAAAAAACCAAACACAAACAAACAAAAAACTATGCCTAGAAAGACTGGAAGGAATCAGGGATGATTATTTTGTATGTCTCTTCCTCCCCCTTCCCCACTCCCATACCAGTTTTCTACAATGAACATGTATTAAGTAACCATGTTCCTAGTGATTCTCTAACAGAACTGAATTTATGAAGATATCATCCCTATGCTGCTTTACCTCCAGGTTCTTTGACATTTGCAAATCTTTCTGAGAATATTGTAGTCACATCTAAAGCAGTCCCTATAATTAAGTATATTTTGGCATTGAGAGCAGGGAAGGGAAGAGGGAATGGAAAGTATTAACCTTTAAAATGGTTGTTTCAAATACTATATGCTAACACAAATATATGGAATCTTAAAAAACGGAACTGATGAACCTAGTGGCAGAGCAGGAATAAAGACGCAGATGTAGAGAACAGACTTGAGGGCACAGCGGGGGAAGGGGAAGCTGGGATGAAGTGAGAGAGTAGCACGGACCTATGTACACTACCAAATGTAAAATGGATGGTGGGAAGCTGCTGCATAGCACAGGGAGATCAGCTCGACACTGTGATGACATAGAGGGGTGGGATAGGGAGGGTGGGAGGGAGACGCAAGAGGGAGGGGATATGGGGATTTATGTATACATATAGTTGATTCACTTTGTGGTACAGCAGAAACTAATACATTGTAAAACAATTATACTCCAATAAAGATTAAAAAGTAATAAATAAATTAAATGTTTCTTGTAACTGAAAAAACATCATGTAGTGAGACAAGTAAGTTGAAATAAAAGCCATGTAAGCTTTATTGCCTCAAATATGTGGAGGCTGATCATGCCTTTTTTGATCAGACTTCTAAACTGTGAACACTTCAAGGATGTACAGGGGCTGTGTCTTCTATTAACACATTGAATTAAACAATGCAATACCTACTACAGTCCAGGTATTGTGCTGGGGATATTGTGGTGAACAGTGGATATGTTCCCTGCCCTCATGGAGCATATAGAATAGAAGGAAAAGAAAAGTGATAAAGTAAGTAGTTGCAAAAAACTCAATGAGTAGAATGATTGGGGAAGTACAAAGGAGAGAGGTCTGGTCTAGTGAACCCTTCAGGACATAATGTGTAAGATTAAAAAACTCTTAGTACCTTGACATAGAGGGTGCTTGTACATACTTGTTTAATTGGTAAACAAAAAAGATCCTGTAAGTTGATGCTTGGGCTGACTCAGAGGTTCATATACAGTCTTTCGTTAAGAGTACAGTACATGAAGAGATCCAAACGGAACTGCATTTCTAGGTTCATGTGTGAACAAATCTACACCCCTCAATGAACCAGGGATTCTATAGACTAAAGATAACCTGGGGCCAAACTTAACTTTCCAGGTAGCTCTTGAAATACTGAGCTTCAGCTGACTATGCATCTCTAGAACTGGAGTAGATTCAGATCTGCTGGGGAGGAAAAGTAGAGGAGAATGTGATTTATCCAACACTTAATTTTTTTTTTCCCCTTTAGCAGGAAGTCATTATGCGACTAACACATCTTCATCAGATTTCCTCTGATTTACCGTGAAGTGTATGTGAGAATGATGTGCACTGCCAAGAAATGTGGAATTAGGTTCCAGCCTCCGGCTGTTATCTTAATCTATGAGAATGAAATGAAGGCAAAAAGTCGCCAGCGCATCATGCCTGTCCGAAACTTTTCAAAGTATTCAGGTATCTTATGTTTTATCTTGCCTCCTATCTTAAATATTCGCTGAGTCAGTTTATAAGAACGATTTGAGTCTCATGTAATGGAATGACATGGCCTTCAGAGTTAGACCGACCAAGGTTCAAGTCGTGACTGTCAGGGTAGGTGTGAAATCTTGGCTAAATTACTTAATCTTGGTGAGCATCAGTTTCCTAATCTGTAAAAGGAAATTGATAATCCCACCCTTTGAGATCTGCAGTGTGGATTAAATGAGATAGCATTATTCAGTAATATTAATTCCCTTCTCTCCCTCCAAATGTGTTTTTTATTTGTAATCTTGATATTTTCTTGGTACCAGTACTAATATCTAAAGCGGTAATACTACTTTTTCTCCTCAGATGTTTTCTCTAGTTGAAAGTATTTAACATCTCCTCAAAGTGATTTTAAGTTACAGAAATAAAAAATATATCCCTCCTTCCCCCATCACACTCAAAGTTGTATATAAAGAAATAATTCTGTAAAATAGTTCATTCCCAAAAGCCAGTTAGCTACTTGACTATAATGACAGGTAATGGTTTCAGTAACTTGTGGTACCTGAATAGTCTGTGGTGTTGCGTGTGGTATAATAGTTTTGTTTCTCCCTCCTAGATTGCAGCAGAGCTGCTGAACAATTAAAGAATAATCCACGACACAAGGGTTACCTGGAGCAGGTATCCCTGAAGCAACTGGAGAAGTTATTCAGTTTTTTACGAGGTTACTTGTGGGGGCAGAGTTTGGCAGAAACAATGGAACAAATTCAGCGGGAAACAACCATTGATCCTGAGGAAGACCTGAACAAACTAGATGACAAGGAACTTGCCAAAAGGAAGAGCATCATGGATGAACTTTTTGAGAAAAATCAGAAGAAGAAGGATGATCCAAATTTTGTTTATGACATTGAAGTGGATTTCCCACAGGATGAACAACTACAGTCCTGTGGCTGGGACACAGAGTCAGCTGACGAGTCCTGATAACCAAAAACTAAAAAAAAAATGATTGGGTAGTAGAAAATCCATGTTTATACAAGACCATAGATTGGTTGTAGAAAAATCTGTAAAGAACACTATGCATATTGGGTCACGTTTGGACTGACCATGTTACTTTTCAAAACCAAGATATGTAGAGCATCTACTATGTCGGTGCATATGGAATATAGGGAAAAGAGAATATAGGAATCTGCCTTTAAGGAGCTTACAGTCTAATTGGAAGATAAGTCAAAAGCTTATGAAAAACTAGTTTAATGGTATTAGGAAGCATTAGATCCAAATGCTTGATAAAGGCTAGAGAGGATCAGAACCTAGATTACTGTAGGGTAGAATAGTCAGGGAGGACTTTGTCCATCAGTGGCAAGATGGTACTTTGCCTGGCCCTTGAAATGGTAGTATTTGGATAGAAGCTTATATAGGATTCCAGATTAAACTGGGAGGAAAAAAAGGGGGATGTTGCAGGGGATTGGTAAAGAGATAGGAATTAGAACGTTTTATTTGAGGAGCAGTAAGCAAATTATAGTTTGATAAGATCAGAGGGCATATATGGTTGCCAGGGGATTATTCTTTATGCATTGTTTTTATATCTATTTAACTCTAGAGTAGAAGAGTACCCCTGCAGAATGCCCTGCAGCTTCAAGTGGATGTAATCTGATGGATAGCAGGAGAATTCTGCCCCATCCCCCTGCCCCAGTATCAGGAAATATGTACTAAAGACATTCTGAAACCCTGAACCTCTTCGCATAAATAAGAGGTTGGTTTGTAAAATGGGAAATCTACCCATAATAAATGAACATATGTACAGCCAGTTTAGGCCTATTCATGAGTTTGTATCTCCAAAGAGAAGATCCTTTTTGAACAAGGTTATATATGTACAGGTATATCTTTCTTCATATTAGAATATCATTTAATTGGTAGAAATCCTGTTTTCTGCAAGAAAATTAATACCCATTAAATAAAGCTATAAAAGTTACTCATTCTTTCCACCTGTCCATCCCTACTCTCCTTACCATTAAAAGCCTCATTAAAGAGGTCATTCTTGGGCTTCCCTGGTGGCACAGTGGTTGAGAGTCCGCCTGCTGATGCAGGGGACACGGGTTCGTGCCCCGGTCCGGGAAGATCCCGCATGCAGCAGAGTGGCTGGACCCGTGAGCCATGGCCGCTGAGCCTGTGTGTCCGGAGCCTGTGCTCCGCAACAGGAGAGGCCACAGCAGTGAGAGGCCCCGTGAGGCATGGCCGCTGAGCCTGTGTGTCCGGAGCCTGTGCTCCGGAACAGGAGAGGCCACAGCAGTGAGAGGCCCGCGGACCGCAAAAAACAAACAAAACAAAACAAAAAAATAAAAAAACTGCAATGAGGTATCACCTCACACCAGTCAGAACGGCCGTCATCAAAAAGTCTACAAATAGGGAATTCCCTGGTGGTACAGTGGTTAGGGATCTGCCTGCCAATGCAGGGGATATGGGTTTGAGCCCTGGTCCGGAAGATCCCACATACCACGGAGCAACTAAGCCTGTGCGCCACAACTACTGAGTCTGTGCTCTAGAGCCCGTGAGCCACAACTACTGAGCCCCTGCGCCACAACTACTGAAGCCCGTGCACCTAGAGCCCGTGCTCCCCAACAAGAGAAGCCACTGAAACGAGAAGCCCCCGCACCGCAATGAAGAGTAGCCCCCTCTCGCCACAACTAGAGAAAGCCTGTGCATAGCAACGGAGAGCGAACACAGCCAAAAATAAATTAATTAATTAAAAAGTCTACAAATAATAAAGGCTGGAGAGGGTGTGGAGCAAAGGGAACCCTCCTACACTGCTGGTGGGAATATAAATGGTGCAGCCACTATGGAGAACAGTATGGGGATTCCTTAAAAAACTGAAAATAGAATTACCATATGACCCAGCAATCCCACTACTGGGCATATACCCAGAGAAAACCATAATTCAAAAAGACACATGCACCCCAATTTCGTTGCAGCACTATTTACAATAGCCAGGACATGGAAGCAACCTAAATGTCCATCACAGAGGAATGGATAAAGAAGATGTGGTACATATATACCATGGAGTATTAGCCATAAAAAAGAACAAAATATTGCCATTTGCAGCAACATGGATGGACCTAGAGATTGTCATACTGAGTGAAGTAAGTCAGACAGAGAAAGACAAACATCGTATGATACCACTTATATGTGGCATCCTAAAATATGGTACAAATGAACTTATCTACAAAACAGAAATAGAGTCACAGATGTAGAAAACAAGCTTATGGTTACCGGGGGGAAAGCAGGGTGGCTGGGGAAGGATAAATTGTGAGGTTGGGATTGACATATACACACTACTATATATAAAATAGATAACTAATAAGGACCTACTGTATAGCACAGGCAACTCTACTCAGTACTCTGTAATGACCTATATGGGACAAGAATCTAAAAAACAGTGGATATATGTATATGTATAACTGATTCACTTTGCTATACACCTGAAACTAACACATAACTGTAAATCAACTATAATCCAATAAACTTTTATAAAAAATAAAGGAAAGGGAAGAATAAGAGAGAAAACTGATGATAGTCCAGTTATGATGTCAGGGGCAGGTTCATGATTTCTTCTTTTTTTTGTTTGTTTTAATTAATTATTTTTTGGCTGTGTTGGGTCTTTGTTGCTGCACGCGGGCTTTCTCTAGTTGCAGCGAGCTGTGGAGGCTACTCTTCGTTGCAGTGTGCAGGCTTCTCATTGCAGTGGCTTCTCTTGTCATGGAGCATGGGCTCTAGGCACGCAGGTTTCAGTAGTTGCAGCACACGGGCTCAGTAGTTGTGGCACACGGGCTTAGTTGCTCTGCGGCATGTGGGATCTTCCTGGACCAGGGCTTGAACCCATGTCCCCTGCATTGGTAGGCAGATTCTTAACCACTGTGCTGCCAGGGAAGTCCAGTCTTCTTCTTAATGAGCCAGGCAGAGCCATCAGACTATAGACTGAGGAGAAGCCGGGGTAAGAGTGAGTAGTTAAGGTGAAAATGAAGGGCGAGCATGTTGATGAAAAAAATTAATCCAGGGCTTCCCTGGTGGCGCAGTGGTTGAGAGTCTGCCTGCCGATGCAGGGGACACGGGTTCGTGCCCCCGTTCCGGGAAGATCCCACGTGCCGCGGAGCGGCTGGGCCCGTGAGCCATGGCCGCTCCGCAACGGGAGAGGCCACAACAGGGAGAGGCCCCCGTCCCAAAAAAAAAAAAAAAAAAAAAAAAAAAATCCATAGCCCATCTAAGAAAGAAATGGAAAATTTTGTTCGAGTGAAACTGAGTATTATAACCCGGGAGGCAGTCTCTCAGAGAGCTCTGAGAACTGTTCGAAAGAGGTAAGGCAATTTTGTGCAACCAAGCACACATCTCAGTAGAAGGTTGCTACTAGCCATGGGGAATAGACATCTTAGTTAATGGTTTTAGTGCTTTTCTAAGTATGGGAAGATGCAAGAATCCGGGTTTATAAAAAATTTCTCCTGAAAATATCTATCTGAGGGCCAGTTCTGTCAGTTTTCCCAGAGCACAGAGTGCCTCATCCTGATCTTTCGCCCTGAATTCATTTCAGGGTGTATTGTAGGTCAGTGACTGCAGCAGTTAAGGACTTGATTCTTGAACTCAATGGTGGGCAACGTTTTCTTTTTCTTTCTTTTCTTTCTTTCTTTCTTTCTTTCTTTCTTTCTTTCTTTCTTTCTTTCTTTCTTTCTTTCTTTCTTTCTTTCTTCCTTCCTTCCTTCCTTCCTTCCTTCCTTCCTTCCTTCCTTTTCTTTTTCTTTCTTTCTTTCTTTCTTTTTCTTTCTTTCTTTCTTTCTTTGTTTCTTTCTTTCTTCCTTCCTTCCTTCCTTCCTTCCTTCCTTTCTTTCTTTCTTTCTTCTTTCTTTCTTATTTTGGCTGCACTGGGTCTTCCTGGCAGCATGCAGGCTCTCTAGTTGTGGCACACAGAGAGTGGGCTCAGTAGCTGCAGGGCACAGGCTTCGTTGCAGTATGTGGGATCTTATTTCCCCGACCAGGGATCGAAGCCAGACCCCCTGCATTGGGAGCACGGAGTCCTAACCACTGGACCACCAGGGAGGTCTCAACATTCTTTATCGATCACTTCCCTTTCGGTCTTAATTTCGACCAAGGTTTGGGAGGCATTTGGTGACCAATTTGTTCCAGAGCACTAGGAATGCTCACTCCCAGGTCAGGCAAAGATTTCATTGATAGGCCTCTCAGTGCTATTACTGGACTATGCCCTGTTAACAGCAGCCAAAAGCCTCTGGATTGCCTGTCTTACTAGTCTGTTATGGTCCAGGAAATGGCTCCCTCTTGTTGCTTCTTCCCGTATCTAGAGTTACACTATTACAATCATTGGTCTTATAGGACTATATATTTGGTCAATCATTTCAGGTCACTTAGGCATCATTAATTTTATCTGAGGCTCAGTCACATATTTGGTAATGCAAGAAATAATAATCTTGTAAAATAGGCAGAATACAAGAATACAGCTAGTAACATTAATAAGGTCATAAGTACTTAAGCTAAGGACCTCCATGAAGTGTGGCCCAGTATCTCCCCAGGTTGTCTGACCAGTCTGTTCTGCACCCATCACTATCGTTTTTTAAATATTTATTTATATTTATTGAAGTATGGTTGATTTATAATGTGTTAATTTCAGGTTTACAGCAAAGTGATTCAGTTACAAACACACACACACACATATATATATATTGTTTTGTAGATTCTTTTCACATATAGGTTATTACAAAATATTGAGTATAGGTCCCTGACCAATCACTATGTTTTTTTAAAATTAATTAATTTATTTTATTTTTGGCTGCGTTGGGTCTTCATTGCTGCTCACAGGCTTTCTCTAGTTGCGGCGAGCGGGGGCTACTCTTTGTTGTGGTGCATGGGCTTCTCATTGCGATGATTTCTCCTGTTGTGGGGCATGGGCTTTAGGTGCGCAGGTTTCAGTAGTTGTGGCTCACAGGCTCTAGAGCACAGGCTCAGTAGTTGTGGTACACAGGCTTAGTTGCTACATGGCATGTGGGATCTTCCTGGACCAGGGCTCAAACCCGTGTCCCCTGCATTGGCAGGCGGATTCTTAACCCCTGCACCACCAGGGAAGTCCCTGAAAATTTTTATGTTTAAATTTTTCTTGTCTTGCCTTAAAATGTGATTTTTTATTTCATTAAGAAGAAGGAGAGGACCTCCCTGGTAGTCCAGCAGTAAAGAATCCACCTTCCAATGCAGGGGATGTGGGTTTGAGCCCTGGTTGGGGAACTGAAATCCCACATGCCACGGAAGAACTAAGCCCACACATGGCAACTACTGAGCCTGCGCGCCTCAACTAGAGAGCCTGTGTGCCACAAACTACAGAGCCCATGTGCTCTGGAGCCTGCAGGCCACAACTAGAGAGAAGTCTGTAGGCCACAACTAGAGAGACGTCTGTGCACCACAACAAAGAGCCTGAGTGCCACAATGAGAGATCCCGCCTGCCAAAATGAAGATCCCACATGCCGCAACTAAGACCCGACACAGCCAAAAATAGAAAGAAAGAAAGAAAGAAAGAAAGAAAGAAGGAAAGACAGGAAAGAAAGAAAGAAAGAAAGAAGGAAAGACAGGAAAGACAGGAAAGAAAGAAAGAAAGAAGGAAAGACAGGAAAGAAAGAAAGAAGGAAAGACAGGAAAGAAAGAAAGAAAGAAAGAAGGAAAGACAGGAAAGAAAGAAAAAAGAAAGAGAGAGAGAAAGAAAGAAAGAAAGAAAGGAGGAGCTTTGTTCAGATGGAAGGGTGAGGTTGGATGTGTTCAACATAGATGGAGAAAGTAGACAGTGGGGAGTCAGATGAAAACCTACAACCCAGGGGTCACAAACTGAAAAGGACCTCCCCTATCCTCGCCTCCTCTCTCCTAGAAACAAACTAACAAAAGAACTTCCCCTGGCCAAGTTTACAAGAGTGTTAACGG